AAAATAAAAAAAAAAAAAAGAGAGTGAATAAGGAGTTTATTCTCTCTGTTCTCTCTCTCTCTGTTCCTGCATTTCACAATGTGATACCCTACCTTCACTGTCACCACCAAGGCCTTCTCCAAATGTGTTCCCTGGACTTTGGACTACCCAGCCTCAGAAACTGTAAGCAATAAATTTTCTTTATAAATCATCCAGTTCAAGGCATTTTGTTATAAGCAACAGAAATGGACTAATAGATTCTTTAAGATTAGAGAAACAAAAAAAAGCCAAAAGGAGACAAATCAGGACTGTAAGGTGGATGACTTATGATTTCCCATGGACATTCTTGCAAAATCACCCTTGTTTGATAAGTAGAATGAGCAGAAGCATTGTCATGGTGGAGAAGAATTCTCTGGAGAAGCTTTGGTTAACTTTTTCAAAACAGTCTCATAATAAGCAGATATTATCCTCTTTTGGCCCTCCAGAAAGTCAACAGGCAAAATACTTTGAGAATTCCAAAAAACTGTTGCTCTTGACTGCTCATTGGTCTGCTTTTGCTTTGACTGGACTATTTCTGTCTCTTGGTAGCCACTGTTTTGATTGTGCTATGTCTTCAGGATTGTACTGGTAAAGACATGTTATCTCCTGTTACAATTCTTTCTTCAAAGAAACACTTTAGGATCTTGATTCCACTTGTTAAAAATTTCTTTTGAAAGCTCTGTTCTTGTCTGCAGCTGATGTGGGTGCAACAGTTTTGGCATCCATCCAGAAAAAAGTTTGTTCGACTTTAAGTTTTCAGTCAGAATTGTGTAAGCTGAACCAATTGAGATGTCTGTGGTGTTTCTGCTATTATTCATCAGTCCTTTTCAATTAGGGCATGAACAAGATTAATTTTTTTTCTCTCAAATTGATGTGGATGGTGCTAAGTCTAGGGCTACAGACCCTTCAAACCCATTGAACAGACTGGGTCACAGACCCCTCATATACAGTTCCGTGAGCTAGGTAATTGGGAAAGATCCCAGGAGCCATTGGCAGACAACATGAGCTCAGTCCTCAGCTTCCTCAGCAGCATCAGCAGCAGCAGCTTACAGGAGCCTCTAGCAGCAGTGGTGGTGGCCTCCTGGAGCACCCTTGGGGCCCTGGCAGCAACAGCCTCCAGCAGCAGTAGTGGCCTCTCTGTGGTCCCCCCAGGGCAACCAGGGGACTGGGGGGCCCTGTGGATCAGAGCTGTTCATCCTCTACACTTAAGTCTGATAACCCAGGACACCTGGGTGTGAGTCAGACAACCCAGGAATACCTAGGTGCCTATGCACATCTACATCAGACAGTAGCCAAGGAACACCTGGGCGCACGTGCATATTTACTTGTTCAGCAAGATTCTGAACATCTGTGGGGCCCCTACCATCTTCATTCACTTTCCCTACAGATGATCTGCCAGTGCGGGGATTCATCTTCAACATCTTGTCCCTCCTTAAATGAGTTATCTATTTGTAAACTGATTTCTTTGGGGGCACTGTCCCAATAAACTTTTGTAAAACATCAATGACTTCACTCTTCTTTCACCCAAGCTTCACCATAAATCTGATGTTTATTTTTGCTTAAATTTTAGCAGTATTCACGTTGCTCTGATAGGGCTCTTTTCAAACTTTCTTATCCTTCTTAGTGTCTCAAACCAGATCCTGTTCAGACATGTTATGACAAATTAGTATGACTTAATTTTTTTTTTTTTTT